ATTTCTTATTATGTTATTTTTACAATAGCAATAATTAGTATCAAGATTCTAGAAGATAACAAGAATAAGAATAAGAATAAGAAAGAAGACAAATCATCTTATCAGAAATATTGATAAAAACACTAAATAGATAGAAATGACAATGATAAAATAAATATTGGTAATTTAATATGAAAAGTAAAATAAAAGAAAGAGAAATAAGAAGTAATAGAGAAATAAGAGACATAGTTATGTCATCTGACGCCAAATAGATAATTGTGATAAGAAGAAAGAGAGGAGGAAGAAGAAGAAAGGAAGCGATAAGTCGCACAATAAATAACAAAAAGAAGAAATAAAAATAAGACAAAGAAGAAAAAGAGAAATAATGTACAACAAAAACAACGTCAAATATTACCAAGTCTACAATATGATAAAAAAATTGCAAAGAAAAGAAATAGATAAGCAGATATTGATGATACGTATATATAAGTGATAATAACTAATGATATTGACTACGAAAATAAATGAATTTACAACAATAAAAATGAAGAAAGAAATAATAAGAATAAATAAATAATAAGAAATGGAAGCATAAGAATAATAGGCTATTGATTAATTTTGAACTAATTGACTAAATAAGAAATTAACATGAGAACAAATAGAAAGTATAACAAAATTGACAAATACTAATCTCAGTTGTAATTTCAACAAACATGTTAGTAAATCCAGAAATTATTAGAACAATTAAAGAATTGAAAATGAAGATGAAAAGACAAAGAAAGCCAAAAACATTGTAATGAAAAATATGAAAAATTTTGAAAGATTGTTGATATATAAGAATAGGCATTCTTTAGCTTTAATTACAAAGAATCATTGTTTTTATTAGCACCTATAGAATAATGAAGAACAACTCTGTAATACATAATTAACTGGTTTTTACGTGTTAAATATAACAATTATAAAATAATTTTAAAATAACACAAATTTATTATTTTTTGTTTTAATCATAATAACATTTTTTTTAAAACATGATAATTTTGGGAATTATTACAAAAAATTAAAAACATAAAATAAGCAAAATAAAATCTTAAAAGACAAATTTTTAAAATAAAAACTTAAAAACGAGCGAATGTCCAACTCTCCAAATATCCCACCATTAAAATCTGATTTTATGACAAAACTTAAACAAATTATTGTTGCAATACCGAACAGTGAACTTATAATGAAAGGAAGATATAAAGAAGTTTTTGAAACACAAAGTTTTGAAGAGTTTTTACTTAAAATGGTTTCAGCAGCACGTGAATTTATGGGTTCAACCACGATTGATAACGAAACGAAATTTAATTTATTCTTCTCTTATCATTATTACGTTGATTTACTCTGTGAGTCAATGGCAGATAAGTTTGTATAAATGTCATAAAAGTCGTTATAAAAAAGTATATATTCAATTAAAATAGGTCAGTCTCTTTTAATCAAATGAATTTATTGGCTCAAATGAAAGAACCATTACCTTCAACAAATTCTCCAAGGAGTGAAAATGAACCACCAGGATTACCTGTAGTTTCTCAAAATGATAATATAGACCAAACACCTGATATTGTTCCTAATCATTCACTTCTTCTTGAAAAATTATCTTTAGCAACTGAACAACAATTGGAAAAAATATTAGAAATTGTAGCACCTCAAAACACTGATTGGTGTATAGGAATGGATCTATCTACAATGTCAGTTGATGTAATAGAACAAATTTCATCAATACTTTTACAACAATAATAAAAGAATGTGTGTTTAACAACTGGTTTATACTCTAATGCTAACCCATTTATTTTAATACATACTTTATTAATAAAAATGCTATTATTATAATAAACTGATATTTATATTTTGTGTTTTTTCTAAACTCTTCTCATCTTGTAATTCAATTTTTTTGTTATTGGTATGTCAGACAAAAAGAAAGAAACGGTACAAAACAATAAAGATATCAAAGACACTATCAAACAAAAATTAGAGTCAATGGTTGGTTTAATTGATAAAAAACAGGTTGAGTTTATTGACTCGTTGAAAAAAAATATTCAATCATGGAAAAGTGATGAAGATATTTTCATTCAAGACAATCAAAATGTTATTGAAAATTGTATAAGAACTGGGGTTATTTATTATTTTGGAATAAAACAAATTGACCGACTTGCGAATTGCATTGTTAGTTTAATTAAGGAACAATATCTTACAGTTGAAACATGTCAAAAATTATTAACAATGTTATATAATAATATTATTATTGAAATTGTTTCAAGTCATAAAGCAATTTTAATTCTTTCCGCAAGAATCATTCATGCAACTATACCTTTTAAATTAGAGACAAAATATGTTATTGAAAATATTAAGTTATTGATTGACTTTTATTCTTTATCAACTCCTAATTATGTTTGTTTTTCTTTATATATTTTATTATTATATATTAATTAGTTTAATAGCCAACTGAACGTTCTTTGAATAATATTATACAAGGCTATATTACTTCTTTATTTAAGTTGTATAGTGTTGAAACAAACTTATCTAATGAATGTGAGCCAAAACCATTACAAGCAATATCCCCTTTATTTATATCTTCACAATATACAACGTCTAATAGAAATGGTAATTTTAACAATAAACTACTTTCAGTCTCACCTATGGAGAGTTCTACTCCTTTTGATGAAAGTGATAACTCACAACCATATCATGAAGATGAGTTACAACAACCAGTAGATGAAAAGCCAATAGAAGAACAGGTCATACAAACATTAGAATCACCAAATACGTTAACAAAATCAAATGAAGATGAATCTTTTGATGAATTTATTCAAAGTAGTGAAGAAATAAAGAAAGAAGAAGTTAAAGAAATTATTAATGAAGATAACCAAATTAATCCAGAACAGATTAAAGTTGAAAATGAAATTAATGAATTAAAAAAACGTAATGACGATGAAGATAAAAAAGATGATTTATATGAAAAACAATTACCTCCTCATTATGCTATTTTGAGTGTTTTAACTAAGATATCACTTATTGACCATGCAAAAAGATTTGTAATATCAGACACATTACTAAAAGGTAGTTATAAGCAAATGACAGGTAAAAGACCAATGACATTAAGAATGCAAAGAATAGTATTAGACTTGATAGAATTTTGGTTGTCCCAATGTCCAAGTGAATTTTGTCCTAATTCTATTAAGGGATGGAAACAAGATTTATGTAAATGTATTGCACATAATACATTTTCAAATGAAGAGCCTATTTTCATAACATCTGTTAAAATATTTAGTTTAATTATTCATCGTTTTAGAATGTATTTTAAAAAAGAAATAGAAATTATTACTAAACATATATATTTCTTCTTTATTAAATCTCCATTACCTTTTATTAGTTATAAATTATTCCTTGTAAATGAAATGCAAAAGTTAGCAACTCAACCACAAATTATTATTGATTTATTTACTAACTATGATTGTATGACATTTGGAATGAATTTATTTGAAGAATTTATATCATTAATTTCTTTTATTCTTTCGTCTCAATTCAAAATGGAAACGCCTGACGAATTATCATCAAAACTGATCATTGAGATTAGAAGAGCAGCATATAAAATTATTCAAAGTGTTATTGAATCTATTCAAATGCAAATACAATCAATGCAGAAACTAGAAGAGAAAGGAATGGTAGAGATTATTAACTCAGTTCCAGTTCAATCACATTGCCAAGAGGGTATTGAATTACTTAAGCAAAGAAAAAGAAAGGTTGACGTTATTCATTCAAAACAATTATTTAAGGATAAACCAAATGATGGAGTAGCATATATGATTAAAACAGACTTATGTTCTAATAGTCCTGATTCAATTGCTCAATTTCTTATGAGATTAGAAGGTATTGACAAAACAGCACTAGGAAAATATCTTACTTCAAATAAAGATTTAAATAAAGAAGTTTTTAAAGAATATATGAAATTGATTGATTTTAAAGGACTTAATATTGATGAAGCATTAAGGACAATGTTTAATTTATTTGTTATGCCAGGAGAAGGTCAGGTAGTTGATCGAGTTATTGAAATGTTTTCTATAAGATATGCCGAGTGTATGAATGAAAAAATTAATGAATTAAATATTACGTCAAATCAAATTTATTTCTTAGCAACAACAATTATCTTTTTATCTACAGAAACACACAATGCTAATGTTAAAACAAGGACAATGGATACATATGAAAAATTTAAAGGGATGGTTGAACAATTTAACTTTACTCTACCTGATGAATATCTTCA